ATAAAAGTTAGACTTCTAAATATAACATAGTCTTTGTGTGCATGTGTTTATTTGTATCCCAAAAAAATTCTTAAGAGCCAAACTATATCACAGCAATAATAAACTAGGTTTAACACATCCCTGTAGAGAGGCAATAAACTATGAACAATTAATTGATTTACTGATTATGTGCCATTATGTTGACTTTTAGTGATCTGTTATGGATAGGTTCGCTTCATGAATGAATGAACTGATGAGTTTATAACTTCAGCAACATGGCTGAGTTTATAAGGTAAAGATTGTAGGTGTCATACCAACTTTTCTAAAAGTCCTCTGAGTAGACCTATTGTACCTTAACTCTGCCTCCTACCCTGGTGTACTGGCTGGATAGTGCCTGTGCTGCTTTTCTGACAAGTTAAAAGAGGAAAATGGGAAAAGTGAAATTAATTCTACAATGCCATCTCCTAGCCATGTAGTGTGGAGATATTTAGCTATAGAAATCGTCTTTTCACCATATTCTTTGGGGGGGAGGGAGACAGACCACTCTCAGAGAAGATAAACTAAATCAACTTTTTTAAAATAAAAAAATAAAAGTGCAAAACTCTTTTTTAGCATTAAATATTATCCTGAAAGAATATTTAGTGGTATAGAAAACAAAAATATAGAACTGTTCAAAATACAGACAGCAATTTAAAAGTGATCTCCGGAAGAAAAATATACAAATATGGATAAACCATAATATGACAATGGCTTGATTCTTAGAGGAATTTGTGTTGCGGAGAAAATCCAACTGACATAAAAACAAGTACTGAACTAGTACAGAGAAAATGCATGTCCCTTCAGACACGGAGAAAAAAATGAAATCTAATGCAATTTTCTACCTAGACATGTTCCTAGATTCTTCTGGGAATCCTGAAACTTTTTGTTTGCTTTCCTGGATTTTTGCTTATATTTTTTTCCCCTTTTTATCAGAAGGGTAAACCTTTTGCCAACTTCATTGTGTAACTTTTTGCCAAAATTTTAAATTCACAAAAGTGTTTCTTCTCCTAGTGGGGAAAGATTGGGGTGATCTGCATGCATGTCACTCATATCATGTCTGAGACAAGGTGAATTGAAACACCCAGGACTGGCTGTCAGTGAATGGGACCTGAGGGCTTGTCTGTCCATTCATTAAAATAACAACAACAATAATAATAATAAAGTTGGAAGGGACCTTGGAGGTCATCTAGTCCAACCCCCTGCTCAGGCAGGAAACCCTATACTATTTCAGACAAATAGCTGTCCAGTCTCTTTGGAAAAGCAATGGTTTTCTTTGCTTTGGGTTGAATCCAAAGGAAATTCCTGCCATTTTACTTCCATTGAAATCAATGTAACTAAATGCAAGATATAGTAACTGATAAATATAGCTCTGAATTTAAATATGGCTATGTTTGATGGAAACACTGTTAGTAACACCACCAATATCATTACTAGCATGGAGCTGGTAGCAGAGATGTTCATATGACAAATGAGGAATTGTATTCTAATTTGTCCCTAAATGGTATTTACATAGTAATGTTTTTAAGTCTTGATATCCTTCCTGTCTATATGAATATAGCACTGAATAAAGAACACTGAATTCCACTTATACTGTTTGCTGACAGAAATTAGTACTAGTAGAACAAGAAATGCTAAAAGCCTTGAGTACACTTTGATATATTTTCAAAGCAGAATCCATTTTTAGAAGAGAATTCTACTCTGAAAGCAGAAACAGCTAGCTATGATAAAACAGTATTGATTGGAAATTAAAAAAGAGTTAATACTCAATGAGTGTAAGCTACGATGCAAGGAAGGGTCCATAAACTGTATGCTCGTGGTTTTAAATAGCTAAGAAAACTTACACTTGATTAGTATATGGAATGAAAAACTAAGGAAGTAGTAAGACCAGAATTCACAAACACATCCCATGGAGTAATCAGTTGCAAGAGAAAAACATGGTCTTGTCCATAAAATCACCAGGAGGAAGAGTATTTAGGCAGAAAGGGGGAGAAGGGCTATTAAGAAAAAGTCAAGATTGAAGTCATTACTGCATGATTAAAGCCTGACCCCCTCTTTTACATGTATCACATTTTTAAAAAGTGGAGGGACCAGGGCTTTGATCACTTGGTTACAGGTGCCATCTTGACTTTTTTTGATCCACCTGATGGATGCCTCTCGCTAGGAGCTGACCTTGATTACAATATGATTAATATTTAACAGAAGCAGGAGCAGGAAGGGAAATGGTTCAACATTTGCAAAAATCAAATAAAAATGTTTGCATTTTAGCAGTTCCTATCCTGGTAGATGCAAAGGCTCAAGATGAGTTTTGTGAACAGTCTCTTTTGAAAATCCCCCAAAACCAACACTACCAATAGATCTGTTTAGATTTAAAACAGCCTTATTGAACTCTGCTTGTAATAAGAGTGCAGCAGCAGGAATAAATGTAATTATTAATGTTTTTATAGTCACCTTGTTAGGCAGCTCCTTTGCAGAGTTCTATTTACAGATTGCTGAGCCTCGGAAATCTCCAGAGAATGGGAAATAGTGAATATAAACCTTTGCTGATTGCACATTGATTCTGCATGGAATAGGGACCTCTGATATTCTTATATGCAATAAAATCAGCTGGTGAATAAGTAATCCATATGCTGATTGCAACATGCTTCTAAGAAGAAAGTTGCTCACAAAATCCAGTGCAATCAGTGCTGGATTTTGAAAGAACATATAAATTTAAACACACACACATATACACACTTGACAGACACATAGAAAGGATCTTAACTAAAAGGAAGAGAAAGGGAAAGCAGGGTCATGTTTCCAACTCACTTGTATTATTTAAAGCTTTAATACTAGAACCTCTTTCACAATATATGTCACAGATTAGAGAATTTATCTTCAGTTCAAAGAATGTGTTTGCATGAAATGTGTTAATTGCAAGAAAAAAAATTATCAGGAAGTGTCATTGATAAGAATAGCATGCCAATCCCCATCACTCCACCAGCCACTTGTGTGGCCCAATTCCAAATAGGCCACGGCCCGGTAGTGGGCTGCAGCCTAGGAGTTGGGGACCCCTGCTCTAATATCATCTGAAGATTGTGAATCACAGTCTTAGTTAATATTCTGAAAGTGCAGCTAGGCACACTAACTTTCCTAGGAAATGTTCACGGACAAATGATGCAAGATCTGAAGTAGGACTTTGCCACTGCCAGCTTTTCTGAGGCTCTATTCTCTTCTGCTCCTTCATTCTGATGACATTGACAATGTCAATGTATAAGTCATGTTTACATCTCTTGCCCACAGTCTCTGGGTATTTAGCATCGCTAAATAGCATTCAATTGATTGCCAGTGCTTAATTTCCTCTCTTTACAGTTCATTGCTTGTTTATACATGACACACTGAACCATGAATTAGTCAACTTAGGGTACTGGGCAAACTCACTGTATGCAGCTACTTTATATTTCAATGTATTATGCAAACTAATAAGCAAATCATGGTTAGATTACCATAAGTAAATAGTTCATGCAAATGCAGTCTTTGTGTAGGTCAGTCATATAGTCAGCTTTCACTTGTATTTGCTATCCTGAAGAAAATCAAGACAAGAAAGAACTCTAAAAAGTAAATTATGGTATCAATTATGGTATGTTTGCACGTATCAAAAAAGTGAAGTAGAAGCAACATCATGATGCATGCCCTGTTCCTTTTGTACATGCAAAAGGTGTAAGGGCTTGCATTGTGACACTACTTTTACTACCTAGTCCCTTTTGAAACAACTCCACAGGTGTTAACTCCAAGTCAAACTCAATTCCTAATGATATGTGTACATGTTTAAGTTGTTTTCTTGACAACACAGTAGAAGTGATTTGCCATTTGCCTTTGTGCTAGAATTTTTCAATTTCTCAGTCTAGTCTGGACTCCTCTATTGCCTAGCTTCCCATGTAAAGGTTAGTGGAAAGGAAGTGGAATGAATTTAACATAACAAATCTATGTTTCACTGAATGTAAAGAAAATCAAAGTTTGCATACCCTTTTTTAGTAAAACAATATTGGTTGTGTTGATATTTTAAGCCAATTACTCATAGGTTTCAGGAAAAATGGAGTAATAGAATGCAAGTTGGAGGACTCCACCTGGTGGGTGAAGAAGAATCCTATCATCAAATAATTTCTGGCTTTGTCTACACATAAAGTTAAACCATTCATTCATTGCTGTTCATGTCCTTTTAGGCTTTTTATTCACATATAAAGAACCAACAGACATGCCTCTGCTTTTATTCTCAAGCAAAGCAGTTTCTTTTCAAAATTCTAAATCCAGAGGAATAGATTATATTAGAAAGACCTATAGTTATCATGAGTGTATATCACACTATCATGCGTTCAGGGGATAACTCCTGATAGATTAGACTACACTAAAGCAATATAAAATAAAATTCCTGCAACAATCAAAAATAATGAACCCATTTAAAATTATGTTTGTTTGGTCATATCGAGGGAAAATGCTTAGAATATTTTATTATCTTCATTATTCATCCACCCCCAAGAAATGCTGTTTTTAAAAAGTCCACTTAACACTCAAATCCCACTTCCCTAAACTGCAAGCACGCTGGCTGGGGAATTCTGGAAGTTAAAGTCCACGAAGTTGCTGAGGTTGAGAAGAAAAAAAAGCCCTTAAGAATAAGACTGGACAGTTGAAAACCAATAAAAAGGCAAAGATACTGATGCAAAGAAAATTACATGGACGTTTCTATAAACTCGCCAGGGGCTCTGTAAAAGAGACCTATGTAAATAAAGCCACGAGATTGGGAGTGCAAAAGTCCGGAAACACCCCCCCCCCAACTCATTTTGCTCTCTAGTATCTGTCCAGAGTGCTCCAGCTCATTTTTGGTAACGAGCCCGTGCCTTTTTCCGTGCAGCGACGACGCCAACTAAACCGTTGAGCGTGACCTGCAAAGCGTCCAAAAGACAGCGTTTTAACTTCCGCCCTCAGTGGTTGCCCTACTTCCTGTTTCCGCTCGCTCCTGTGGGTTGCCATAGCAACACAGAAGCTGGGCCGCTAGTTGCTGTTTCTTTATGGAAATTGTTGCTTGTTTTGTCTGCCTCTGGAGGTGCATTTCTAATGTTCTTTCGGGGTATGCTAGGCAGAATGTCGAATGTAGCTTATCTTTCCCCCCTTTTTTGGTCTGGTGGGGGGGAAATTATCTTTTTCAGTGATCGTTATGACGAACCTTTTGCGTTCATGATCGCGTTGGATAGCAGTACAGTAGCAGGAAGCCCAATATCAGTCTTGTGTGTTTTGTTTTGTATTTGTCTGTATTTACAGGCAGTACCAGAATTAATTCCTTTTCTTCCAATGGGGCTTACTCCCAAAGGAATAAACACGGGCTTCAAAAGATGTCTCCCCCCCTCGCATCCATTTTGAGACATATTATTTATAGTTACTTTGGACTCTTGCTCAAATTTTATTGATCTGGATCTTTTCTTATAGCTTATTTGTGCAGACAACAGATGCAATAATACACTGGCATTGAAAGTCAAAGATGGAAGAAAAAAAACCTCTGATAATTTACTACTTTTCTATATAGTCTAAACATTGGGACAAAATGTACAGTCAATAGCAGGTTAACATGTAATGAAATTATGTAAAAATAAATAATATAAATAAAATACATCTACACTGTGTAAAATATCAATACAAACCAGATCTATTAGTTCTTGACTGCAATGATTTTAAGTAGTTTATTTATTTATTAGATTTTTATCCTTCCTCCATTACCTTATAAATAGCTCAAGGCGGTGAATATACCTAATACTCCTTGCTCCTTTCTATTTTCCCCATAACAACAATGCTTCATGGCTGGACTGTTGTAGTAATTTACTGGCTGAACTTCCTGCTTCCACTCATGCCTGAATACAAAACAATGCTATTATGGTTGTTTTGGACCAAATAATCACAGAAATAATAATTTCTAAATATTATTTCATTATCCTATGACTGTCCCAATTAACCACACAATGATAGTAAAGCAACCAGTATTTTATTTTGCAATGGCAAATATGTGCCTGACATCAGATAGTGAAGTACCCCTAACATCAGTAGCCTAAACACATATGCTAAAGAATCTGCAAATATAATTGTGTTATAGTTTCTATGATGAAATCAGCCTATCTCCAAAAATAACATTTTTTACTATTGATGTTTGGCTTTCAAGACTCCCCCTAACTGTCATGAACCTACTTAATATATATATTTTTTAATCTAGAGATAGTCTAACTGATATTGTCTCTGTATTCTCTAACAAGAGCTATTGTTGGATCTGTTTGTAGTGGCAATATGGGAAAGCCACTGTTGTACAAGGAGTTAGTGACATATTTTGATTTTTCCTTCATATCAAGAAAAGTGTAGAACAGGGGTCCCCAGCCTCTGGTCCATGGACCAGCATCGAGCTGTGACATGCCAGAAACTGGGTCCCATAAACAATCAAAGCCCCATCAATGGGATGCAGGCAGCAAACAAAACCACACCCCCTCTGGTCTGTGGAAAAATCTCTTTCCACAGAACCGGTCCCTGGTGCCCTAAAGATTGGGGGCCTCTGGTATAGAAGTTTAGAACTCATTCTGAGCTAGCCTACTGGATTTTTTTTTTCTTGCTTGCTGAACAAAGGAGAAGGGGAAAAATCTTCACGTAACTTCAAAGCTGTGAAAATCTCAGATTTTTGATTCCCATCCCGAAGTTATGTGCCAGCCAGTCAAGGTCAAGTCTTGCAGTCTCCGGACCATAGCAGGGCCAGTGGTTTTGTCAACAGAGTATAAAATAATATCCATTCATTTTTTTGTCTATGAAACTAAATCACTGATATAAACTGCAAAAGTAACAAGATAATTGAAATTCATAACTGAAAATGAAGCTTGCAGAATTTTAAAAATAGATTGCATATAATTAAGTTCTCCTTTTCTAATCATTTAAGGCTACAATGGATATTACAAGAGGAAGTCTGGATGGAATTTCAAGACCAGCCTCTAACTCAAGAAATAATCATGGAAGCAAAATTTTAAATTCATCTCTGGAGATTTTAACACCAGAATCCGACCAGTCTAAGGTAGTTACACATTCTGCTCTGTTACTTGTTCTGCTCTCTACAGACTTTTCAAAGTTTTGCCTAGAATTTCAGATGTTTACTGCAAGCCAGTAGGTAAGTGAATAATTACATGCTTTATTTAATTTTTTTGTACAATGTCAAATTTGAGGATTTTACCCAAGGATGTTAGTTATGATAATAAATCAGGACCCTTGGATAAAAAGTTTGATATGCTTGTTAAAAGTTTTCATTTTGCGCTATCATTTCTAGGTTGATTTTTGCAATAATCACATAGGGGAGAACTCAAAAGAAAATTATGATAAAAATGGGGACGAATATAAAACTCAACAGATGAGTTTCTCAGAACAAATATCTGAAGAAAAAACTGGTGATTTTCAACTGATGGTACAGCATACAAATCAGATGACAGGTATGGCAAGCGGTATATGATCAATATAACCTTAATCATATTTATGTAGAGTAATTGTATAATAAAACCTATAAGAAATATATTTAATGTAATAATATAATGATATAACTATATAAATATCTTGTTTATTGTGGTTCAAAAGTGACTTCCAGGGAAAGAATGCAAACTAAATATATCTCCAACAAAGATGAGCTGAGCTGAGAGATGTAAGAATCAGCCATCATGCTCACATCTGTAGTAAAGCCTTTTAAAGGACATTCAGTTTGCAATCTTCACTTTTTAATTATTTTTTTAAAATTGCTTACTTACTATTATAAAGACTGTTAGAGATCTTCGAATGACAAGTTAAAAAGCCACCTAGTGAGTTTACTTCTCTTCTTCAGCAAAAGAAAAATTAACTATAAGTGTAGGAATTTAAAGAATTGGAAATAAATGGCAAAAAGCTAAATAAGATTTTGATCTAAGAAAATTATAAATGAATTAAGGGTCCAGACAGCTTTAGACATTGAGACATGAGAAGGGATTAAAAATTCCAGGCAGCAAAGGAAAAGAGGGGAAAACACCTGGAATCAAAATCAGAACATTTTGTGGGATTTACAAAATGGTACAAAATGCTATCAAAAATGGTTCAGGGGATTTTCAAAGAATGGGACCACACATCAATAGCTACAATATCAGAAATGAAGTCTGCATCTATGGATAGGCTACGTCCAAAATATATTAAACCTCATGCAAACATTCTATAACCAGAAATAATGGATAATAAAAAAAGTGTGGATTATAATGCAGAGAAGGGAGTTACAAATGACAAGGCAAGAGAATAATCCTAATAAGAATTTCTAACTGGATATATAAAAGAAACAGATGGAAGCTTTGAAAATCAAAGTGGAAATATAAATGACTAACTAAGACAATGACGTGTATGACTTTTTACTGGATTTACAAAAGAGATTTGTTAAAACCTTGAAGAAACCTCTGCAGAAAATCCAAATTCTACAACAATATATGAATTAAAGATCAGGATTGTTAGAACCAAAAGAAAAGGAGTATACAGTTGATTGGTTTGATCAAGATTAAAATAAGACATATTTTATAAAACTCTAGTAAGCTTTATAAAAGGACTTCTTGCTGACACCAGGGCTGAAAAGTTGATGATTTATAGATTTGCTAATAGATATGGGATGGGTTATAGGAAGAAGGGATACTTGTTTGTAACTATATGGAGTGAAGAGTAACCAAAGTTTGTTATGATGTTGATTGGAAATTAATATTTTATATATTTCCTTTTCTTTACCTTACCTTCACTTTCTTTAGTTTTCTTTTTTTCACTTTTTATTTTTATTTTTATTTTGATTTCTTTTTCTAAGTTTAGTTTATGTTGTTCGTTTGCTACTGTAGTTAAGAACTTTAATAAAAAAATGAAGTTTCGGTGAATTACATGACTGTAAAAAAGAATAAAAGTAACTTTAACTGGCTAAATTAGTGCTTATGTCTAGGCCAGTGGTTCTCAACCTTTTTAATGCCGCGACCCCAACCGGTCGTAAGTCGAGGACTAACCAACTGGTTGTAAGTCGAGGACTACCCAACCGGTCGTAAGTCAAGGATTACTCAACCAGTCGTAAGTCGAGGACTTTCCCTGCCTGGGAGCACCGCACATGCATGGTGCTGCCCCCTGCGCTGGCTGAGGCATAGCTGGCAAGGGGCAGCGACGGCGCAGGGCGACCACTGGCTGGGCCACCAGCTGGCCCAGCCCAAGGGAGGTAAGGCACCCGCCGGGCCCCACGTGCTCCAGCAACCCTCCCTGTGCCTGCCGGCCTCCCACCCCCCACCCCTGGCCCTCTTTTACTTACATTTTTAGTAGTTGCTCAGCAGGGAGGGGTGGAAGCTTCCAAACAGCTCGCCTTCACTGCAGACAACTTGCAGCACCGTTTGCAGACTGGGGCTTTTGGAGGGCTCAGCAGGGCAGACAGCCTGGACAATTCCTATTGGCTTTTGAAAGCCAATAGAATTAGACTCTATTCAAGAGCGTCTATTCTATTGGCTTTCAAAAACCAGTAGAATAAAAGGGAGTAGCACAGCTAAGGAAAAGGGGGAAAAATGGCGGACTGCGTTGTTTGGTGACCCCCGTGAAATGGTCGTTCGACCCCAAATGGGGTCATGACCCACAGGTTGAGAACCGCTGGTCTAGGCTTTGACTGGGGCGTTGAAAGTTGTATAGTTCTTACTATAGCAGTTACATAATTTCAGATTCAACTGTTCTAGAATCTTTATAAAACATTAGAACAATGTGGAAAAATAACGGACAATTAATATAGAAATATAAGTGTTAACTCATAGATATAGATATTTGACAAGATTAAGGTCAGTGGACTGAACATAAGATTAAATAGTTTGTTCCAGATTGCAACCACCTTGGAGTAATTCTCTTTTACAGTTGGTTTGATTCTTTAATAATACTTTTAAATAGCATTTCTGTGCACTGTTTCTCTTTTTTCAGAATATTCTTCAAGTTCAGTGGATTCTGAAGATGACTTTGGTGAAAATAAACTCTCTTGCAGCAGTGCTTCACAGAATAAGCCAGCTGAACCACAAAAAGGTATTTATCTTTTGTACTCTTTCTTATAGTTAAGGTTAGAAAGCCACCTTAGTTTACAAGCATTAATAATTATGATGAGAAGGAAATGCAAGTTATTAAGTAGTGTTAAGTACAAGTCTTGCAGTTTTTAAATGTGTGTCATGAGGGTACACATTTATACAAAAGGAATGGAGATTGCATTATGATGCAAGGATGCTGTTTTTGTCATTTTGATGAAAGCTTCAGATTCTATGGGCATATCTGAGTTTTCTATTTTCCTGCGACCCTGATATTGTTAATTTAGTTTGGATACTTGAATACCAATTCCCTTGTGCTTGTTAATGACTGCAATAAAGTTCTCTGTTTCTGAGCTTTCTGTCAGGATGATAATCTGAATGATTATACGATATAAAACAGGAAGATGGAGGAAATTCTAGCGTTTATTTATTTATGTATTTATTTAAAACATTTATATAGCCATCCATCTTTCAGACAACTCTGGGCAGTTCTCAATAAAATCATTTAAAAATTGTACAATGCACTACTTAAAATTTAATTTTAAAAATTAAAACAAAACATTAACAAACAATAAAAATAAAAACCTGTCACCAATCCAAGCAAATATAACACTGCCTTAACTCCCAACACTTGGGAGAAAACCAGGTCTTTAAGGCTTTACAGAAGGCTAAAAGGAGGGGGGGTCTGCTGAATTTCAGGGGGCAAGATGTCCCACGGGGCAGAGACTGCCATGGAAAAGGCATGCTTCCCATTAGATGACAATGTTTGGGGGAGGGAAAGAGGAGTGTGCCCACCCTATCTGGCATGGCCTTAAGGCAGTGGTTCTCAACCTTTTTAATGCCATGACCCCAACCGGTCGTAAGTCGAGGACTACTCAACCGGTCGTAAGTTGAGGACTACCCAACCGGTTGTAAGTCGAGGACTTTCCCTGCCTGGGAGTGCTGCGCAGCCCAAGGGAGGTAAGGCACCTGCCGGGCCCCATGCGTGCCAGCAACCCTCCTTGCACCCGCCGGCCTCCCACCTCCCACCCCTGGCCCTCTTTTACTTACATTTTTAGTAGTTGCTCAGGGAAGGTGAGCTGTAACACCTTCGCTGCAGACAATTTGCAGCACCGTTTGCAGAATGGGACTTTTGGTGGGCTCAGCAGAGCAGAGACAGCCTGGACAATTCCTATTGGCTTTTGAAAGCCAATAGAATTAGACTTTATTCAAAAGAGTCTATTCTATTGGCTTTCAAAAGCCAATAGAATAAAAGGGAGTAGCACAGCTAAGGAAAAGGGGAAAAAAATGGCGGACTGCGTTGTTTGGCGACCCCCGTGAAATGGTCGTTCGACCCCAAATGGGGTCGCGACCCACAGGTTGAGAACCGCTGCCTTAAGGAATGGGCAGATGGGTAGAAATTCTTAAGGAAAGGTGGTCTTTCAGGTGGCCTGGCCCTATGCCATATAGAACTTTAAAAGTGATGGCCAGCACCTTGAGTTGCAACCAGGAAGAAATTGGAAGCCTGTAGAGACCTAGGCGCCCCTATTACTGTGTGTATTGCCTCATTCTGGATCAGTTAAAGTTTCTGGGTGGTCTTCAAGAACAGCTCCATGTAGAATGCATTGCAGCATAAATGAATGCTAGAATTTCCTCCATCTTCCTTTGTTATATGTATGTATAATCAACTGGGAGATGGCCAAGGCATGGTTGACTGTGAACAGGGACTTCCAGGCTAGGAAAATGTGTGATTGGTTCATTAGACAAATCTCTGTAAAGGCTCCTGGCCTCAGCTGTCACCTGCTCCTCAAGCAGGAGAGGAGTCTTAAAGAACCCCCCAAATTACACACCAATTCACACACTCCCGGGAAGTACTACCCTGTCCAGAGTCAAAGATAAGAGAATCATCTGGTCTTGGGGGGCCAAGGCACTCAGTCTTGCCAGGATTGACTGAAGCCGGTTGCTCCCCATCCTGACCCTTACAGCCTCCAGACACTTAGCCAGCATCGCCACCACACCACATCTGGTTATGGATGGACATCAGTTTATTTCATAAACGTTTGTATTAACAGTAATAGTTTTGAAACAATTTTGAGATTCATTAAGAGCAATATTTTCTTTAAAATATTATAGCATTGATGTTGTATTCCTAGTGGATTACTGAATAATATTCTTTATTTGATGACATTTTAGTAGATCAACTTGAAATGCAATAAAGAATATTTTTTGATGGAAAGATGATTTGATTTTAATAGTCACTTTTATATTTAAGAGACATTCAGGTCTGCAAACCTGGATGATTCTAAGGAGAAAGGTGTAGATCTTCTCATCCTGAAAGCAATAAAGAAGATGAAAAGGTTGGACCAGATATTGGCAAATAAACAATCCCAGGAAAGAGCAGTCAAAAAGCAAGGCAGAGAATTGAGAGCAAAACTATGGGAAGAATTTCAGGTTAGAAATCTAAAACCAGTTTCAGAATACTTCTATGAACCATCATTTATATAACCATAACATGATGATGAATTGCTGATTGTTTACATTGGAATTGCTTTTGGGTATATAAAAATCAGTTATCTAGTTCATATGTATTTGCCTTGCGTGCTGATTTTCTACTCAATTAAGCTGGCTATTGATTTATTTAGTAAGTCTGTAGACATGGCCTGGTAGAAGTTTATCTAGTTCAGCGGTTCTCAACCTATGGGTCGCGACCCCATTTGGGGTCGAACGACCATTTTACGGGGGTCGCCAAACAATGCGATCCGCCATTTCCCCCCCTCAGGGGGCGCGCCGTGCATGCGCACCGCGCATGGGGGGCACCGCCGCGCATGCGCGGCACGTTCGTATGACGGGGGTCGCCGTCACACAAACGTTGAGAAACGCTGATCTAGTTTGATAAATTATTGATACTTTTCATGAATTGCTACTGAGCAATTTACACAATGTATACAAATCTCTTAGTATAAAATATTTTTGTGCTAAATTTATATGAATTTACTATGTTGTAGAGTTCCTATGACATATATATATCATGAAGTATTTTCTGAAAATATTCTGCTCAAATCCTTTCTTATAACTTTTGTAATCTGTTGCAAAAAGTTGCAATTACCAAAGAAATTTTGGTGGCTACATAGCCCAATGATAAAAACATATACTTTAACTAAAAGTGTGTGTAAATCGTGTGGGGATAAAAACAAAGTGGTAAAACTTGCAGTTGTGTGTGGAAGCTCTTTAGAAACGTAAGGAAAAGTTTAGCTGTATGCATAAATATTCTGGGATGTCCATTTATCCTTATATGTACATATGTATTTAATTACCTGAATACAGTCTATGACATCCCGAAGTTCTTCAATAATTACTGAAGAGGAGGAAAACACTAGCAGATTTTTAGCTTTGAACTCACCATTATCAGGAACACCTGGTAAGAATTAAAAAAATAAATTTTTGGTATTAATTCTAATATGGGGCTAGCAACCTGCAGCCTTTGAACCCTCCATAACAACTTTCAGAACCTTCTCTGAAGGTGATTAATGAAAATTGGTGGCTTTCTTATTTTCCATTTAGGTTAGAAAACATTACATCTGTAGCATATGTTCTTTACATATTTAAAAAAAAAATCAGATGCATCCAGTTTGCATTGTTGTATTATCACTGTGGTTCATAGCATTCCCCCAAACATTGAGTGCAGCTTTTTGTTGTCAAAAGGTTGTTCACCCCTCTTATTTGATATATAGTAGCAAAAAAGGTAATTTGTCCTCTAATTCCAAACTCCTGCATTTCATATCGGTTGAGACTGGATGTTGTACCAGAACATATGCTTTCCTGACCAAGTATGTCTTTTATTTTTAAATTCACTTTGAAAATACAGGGAAAGTAATTACTGTAGCTAATTTGGTTCAGCTAATAATGTTGCTAAAGATCCCAATTCAGCAGCCTCTTTGGATCAGTTTAGATTCAAACTGATTCCTCACTTCCTGAATAGAAATTTTCTTATTTCACTGTATATGCTTCATTAACAGATCTTTCTGCTTGCGAAGATAATGACACATTTAACATATTTAAAACTCAGCTTCCTCCAGAAAATTATGAGACTAATGGGAGACAAACAAAGCGAGGTACAATACATTTTTGTTCTCCAGATACAATTTTAAAAAAACAACAAATGTGTGGAAGCATGCCTTTTGATTATATTGATGACGATTATTTTATTATTATTATATAGGCTGCATAAAATGGAAGCATTTCTTTTGCCTAAATGTTGGCCCAGCAATATTTAAGACGTAATACTGTAAAAACTATGTTTTTCTATTGCAAGTATTGTTTTGTATGAGCCTTCCCTCATAGTTTATTACATTTGATGTGAGATCAAAAGTTTCAATTTCATGTTCATTTCTATGTTCACTTTTAAGAATAAACTGGACAGCCATTTGTCTGAAATGGTATAGGGTTACCTGCCTGAGCAGGGAGTTGGACTTGTTGACCTCCAAGGTCCCTTCCAACTTTATTATTATTATTATTATTTACAGAAAAATGCATTTTGGATTCGAGAATGATTAGCTTGGCTTTGCATTTCACATTGGTTTTCTTTGTCTGCAATTTTGTGCTTGCTATTGCAATCTCTAGCGCAGTGGTTAGAATGCAGTACTGCAGCCTAACTCACTGCCCATTGCCAGCAGTTTGATTCTGAACGGCTCAAGGTTGACTCAGCCTTCCATCCTTCTGAGGTCGGTAAAATGAGGATCCAGATTGTTAGGATCAATATGCTGACTCTGTAAACTGCTTAGAGAGGGCTGTAAAGTACTGTGAAGTGTATATAAATTTAAGTGCTATTGCTATTGCTATCAATGAGTTTGCGGTAAAGCCTGTAATATTTTGGTAGGGAAAGTACTGAAAACATAGTTTACAATCTACAATATAGTAATGAAATAAAGAATTTTACATAAAATAGTAAAATGTAATTCAGAAATTTAATTGAGATGGATTTTTTTTTTCTATATTATTTGTTTCCTTCAATACTTTTTCTGTTTCAGTACCTGAAGGTGATTCAACTGATAGTGTAACAAGAAGTTCAGTGAAGAAAATGGAAAACACTTGGCCAAAAAGTGCAGCAAGCTTTAAAAAACCCTCAAACTTTGTTAAAAAGAACATAGAGGTATGTATTTAAAGGCCTTTGTTACAAAACATAGGATTAGAATTTTTTGTTAAGCTTTATCTTGTTACTCATTTAGAAAATTACCTTATTAAAAATTTCTCTACAGTTTATCTGAAATATATCAGAGATTAATGATTGGATTCTAATTGCTTTCAGTGTCAGGTTTTGCTGGAAAAGTAGATTTTTTTAAACTGCCATGTAATTATATCCACATAATAGAATATTCTCTCTTAATTGCACATTCTATTTAAAGTTGTTCTTATGCTATGTGACATTTATTGATAAGAATGTTTACAAAGTTCATTATAATTAAAAGTTATGAATGATGTGGTGGGAGCCACGCTGCCAAAAGATTTCTATGGAATTTATGTAGCATCTGGCACATGTAGTGCCAACATAAGTGTAAAGCCTATCGACTACTTATTCAGCAATCATTCAAAGTTACAACAGTGCTAAAAATAAATTTATGAACAATTTATGAACATTTATGACATTCTCAGCTTCCCCCAGTCATGTGATCTCTGTTACAATTAATATATATATATTGTCCTGCATCTGACCTGTTGTTTTTCTTTTTTTCCTACCTTTGCAGAATGGGGAGATTGGAGAAGAAGAGATTAGAAGAGAGTAAGCAGGCACACAATGGGGAATAGACATGAAAAATAATGTGCTGATAGAACTCTCAGAAAGATTGAGATATTCAGCAGCCATTGTATGCCCGTTTATTCTCTTCTAACCCTGAGCTCCATCGTGGTGCAGTACCCCATTGGGAAAGTAATTGATGACCACCAGTCAAAATTATTCCACTGCTTTTCTGCCCTCTTTCTCTTCCCGTGTACCAACTGCAACCCCTCTTCTCCCCTCATTGTCCTTGGAAAAAAGGGCCCTGCCAAGTAATTTCTGTGGGCAATCTCTTCTCTACCTCCCATCCTCCAGCAGAGAGAGATTGCAGTTGAAGGGATTAGAGGAGAGTACACAATGGTGAATACACAGGTTGTTTGCCAACTGGCTGCTGACATGAATGCATTGCTCTTTTCTAATCTCTTTCTCTCCAGTGATTGTAAATACAAATATTAATTTCCTTCTTGTTTATTATCAGGCACTGCAGTGAGCATTTTATAGGGCAGGAGATAGTTAGGAGGCAAACAAAAGCAGATGGTATGAAATTGGTTACTCTTGTCAGCTTCGACAGAAAGCTCAGTTATGATCATGTGATTTTCCACTTAGCAGTTGCATCACTTAGTGACCAATTTGGGAGTCCCAAATGTGGTTGATAATCTAGGACTACATGTATTTTACACACATAGCTAGTCCTCTTCCTTTTTTATTCAAAATGTGCTTGGTTCAAAAATGATTTGGAAGAAATGCTTTGGAGCCTATCAAGTGCAGCACCTCTACAATATTCATTTACTTTATGTAACCCATTTTTTCCACAGTTCCACATCAACCTGAAAAGAAAAGATGCTACTGTTTAAGGAATCACCCCTTAAAGTTGCAGCCTCTTTCTTCTGCCTTGGTCAGAAATCCGAAAAAAGCCTGTTGCTTTATTGAATTAGCAGAGAGATGTGCAAGATTGAAAGCACATCTTTTATCCATATCCACGAAGCATGCACAACTCTAATCCTTACTGATTTTCAAAAGACTATTATTGATCTCACAAAACTATCAATTTCCAAATTGCTTTCCTCTTTATGCAGTTGGCCAAAGATTCATCAAGCGAAGTTGTTATGCTAGATGAAGAAAGACAGAGACTATCCGAATTACTGAAAGATACAGAAAATGATAGTAATCAACTTCAAGCTGAGGTATGAACTAATAATATTGATTCAAAGCTCTGTGCAACCCAAATAATTCACTGTAGTGCTGTCTTCTTGGGCTTCTGCTGCTACAATGAGAAAAACTAATATGGTATTGTGAAGAAGGTATTAGCCCAGGATTGGTGATCCACATTCAGGTCTTCAATTGATCATGAAATTCACTATGTGATTTAGGGCCATTTACTCTCTTTCAAATTACTTCAGGAGATTGTAGGAGTTAAAGAAAATGGAAACGTATTTTGTTTTACCTTTGGAGCAAAGTACTTTGCAATGAATGTTCCAAATCTGCTGTGTTGCAAAGGAATAAAACTTTAATTTGTTTTCCTTCTTCTGTCAGAATGAAAATCAGAATGTGTTCCAACTTTTGGAAACAATGGAAATTTTCTTCACTTTTAAAGGCACCCTGAAATTTAACATGAGCAAGATACAAAAGCATGCATACATTGCATTTCCAAACTCAACAAACAAGCTCAAATCAGAACTGGTACTCTTTACATTTCATGCTCATAGTATCCAGTGCTTATACACAAACTTCAGCGATATACATGTAATCATGTACCTTTGTGTTTACCTGCCTTATGTAGTTCTATTCAGATAACATCCAATTTTCCTGTAATAAGCAAGTATCCTAGCTTCTGAGTTGATGTGGGAAATGGCATGAAGAAGGGAAGAGTCCTCTCTACACCTGAACCTTTGTCATCCAGGCATCATTTCCATCTATGTGGAGGCCTACTTAGAGTCTCAGAGCCAGGAGGAAGGAACCTACTAACTATTATTGTTGGTTATAAGAATGGAGCTAAGGGTGGGTGATAACTGACTTTCATTACAACTTAAGTGAATCTGGGATTTATATGCATCTTTCATGGGGCATAAGCCAGAGACTCATTCCAGTACAACTTGCTCAGATAAATCAATCATTGGTTATGAGTATGATCCAGTGAGGGATAGAACCCGTTATAGTCAGTGGATATATCTATGGAGAATGTAGTCACAGGAGGAAAGGGCCCTTTCCTAGAAAGCAGAAATAGAAAAGCTTGGAGTCTTTGATATGCAGGAAAAGGACGAAAGTGAACCCTCCCCAGTAATTCACAAAGTATATCTATTAGTTATGCAGATTGTTGTCTTGAGTCTGGCAAGATTAATATAAGGCCAAAGGAACCAACACTGACATATGGAGTTATTTCCAAAGTAGTTTTTTTTATTGTGTTCACCTATTGATAGACCATTATCAAAAAGGTTATACAGCTTGTTCTATATACATAATTGCCTGAATGCTCTTGTGGCAGACGTGATATTTGATTCCTCCATGGCATTGATGGTCCAAACATCTCTTTTAAGATCATCACTTCAACAATTTAGATTTGTGAAGAAGCAACAGCTGTTCCCAGCTGAAGACATGTAGAATTTCCTGAGTAATCTGGGGGTCATTCTATGTATGCTATGTATTTATATGCCAGTAGGGGGTGCACTTGTAATTTGGAAATGTGGCATTGGAGACTTTTTTGTTAATATTTTAAAAAGTTCTAAGAACTCAATAGAGGACATAGCAGTCTTCCACTTTTCCAAAACTACAATTCATTTAAAGTGCATATGACTTTAATACATAATGGAAATGCATGCTCTGATTTATCAGAGTATGGATTGTCAACAGAAATACATATTCATTTTCATATAACTTTATTAAAAATTTGAAGGAAAAAGAACTAATGTTTAGAAGAAAGAGAAGAAAAAAGATAGGAAAAAGACAAAGCTAAATGTGCAAGAAAAAGAAAAAAGGAGAAAAAAGTATAAAGAAATAACTTCTGATTTTCTTATATAGCAGTTATACATATAAAAAGTAAATTAACCTCTTACTCTGTAGGTACAGCATGACATGCATTTTTATATAATTATTTTTTTTAATAATCGAAACTAAATATAATTTTATTAATTTCTATTTCACACAAAAAGTCAATAAGGAGTTTCCAGTCACAATTCAATTTAAACAATGTCCTTTCTGTCATCAGTTTTGCCATCTCAGCAAGTTCTGTCATCTTCACTATCCATTCTTTCACTGTGGATAATGTCAAATCTCTCAATCTTTGTGCATATAATAATGTCAGTACAGTTATCATATATAAAAACAAAATTCCCATGGTACTTTTTAGTTGTTTGTTCATGAGACACAAAAGAAAAACTTCTGGTTTCAATTGCATATTAATCTTTCAAATCTTCTGTATTATATATGAGTCCAAAATGTTCTGGCTTTTTTGCATATCCGCCAATTATATTAAATATCATCTCTTGTTTATATTTCCAACATAAATTTGAAGTACCTTGATACATTCTAGATATTTTTTCCAGTGATTATATCAATGATACATCATTTTATAGAAATTCTCTAAGTTTATAACATAGATAAATTTCAGTCTTTTGAACCACATGTTCTCGCACTGTTACATTTGTATGTTGTAACCAAATATTTTATCCCATTTTATCATGAAAAAATCATTTTTTTCATAGATAGGGTAAGATCAGTTACTAATAAAAGAGAATATTAAACATAATGAAGAGTCTGAAAGTAAATAGCCAAACAAAGAGAAAGAAAACTCCAAAGATCAGTTAGAACTTATAAATCCCTTCCCTAAAATATTTCAATTATTTATCTTACGATTAGAACATATTATGCATTTGTTTGGAAATCGGTGTACTAAAGTTAGGAATTTAGTCATTTGCTTGAGGAAATGATTTTCTGAACATTGCACTTACCCTTTGTGTATTATTTATAATCAGTCCTAGCTATCAAACTGCTGCTTTAATATGTATACAGGATTGGTTCTGATTCTGCACTTTTTTCCTAAAGACAATGTTTCTCTTGTAATATATCATATATTCTATTCTTATGTTAGAAGTTATTTTTTTGTCTTAGTTCTGTAATTTGAGGGGGAAAATAATTATTTCATTTTATTTTAATAGGAAGAAACAACTGGAATATTAGTACCAGGTGAAGGATATACACCCGAACCAATGGAATATCATCACCTTGCGGAAATCGATGCTAAACTCAAAATAATAATATCTGATGGAGATTTGTCTGTATTTCAGGGCTCCTGTTCAAAAGCTTCCAGTAAAATTTATCAGGTACAGAATAGCTAGAGGATGCTTTGCTGTGATAATATTATACTTTTAAAAATTATTATTCTTTTGACAATATTGGCATTTAATCTCTTTTTTAATTGATATACATTCTGTAATAGATTCAAGCAGACAGGGAAGTATGTTTCTCATAAAGAGTTATATTAAGGAAATGTGATTGGGGACTGGGAAGTCTGAGATTTGTACTCTCCAACCATTTTCATCTGGCCCTTAAAAGAAACTCCTAATATAACTTAGCAGACATCAATAATCTTTCTTAGTCCCCACCCATCCACCCAAGGCACTTCATTTATAATAATTCTTCCCTGTTTTTCTTCAATTTTCCTCCTTCAGATTTTTTTGTTAAAATAAAGATCTTTTCCCAGCTGCTGTGAATATTTTGATTCTTTTCCTCCCATTTCATGGATAAATGTCTCTTTCTAGTACCGATGTTTGCTGCTTTATCTTCTTAGATCACTTTTATTTTGCTGTGCCATTATACCAAATACCAGAAGCCCAGAATAATACAGATTTCTTCTTGATACTCTATCTTTCCTAATAAACCCAAGGGTATAGGTCACTTACAGAATTAGGATTGGTGGAGTCCAGCAAAATCAGCAAAAGGTGGAAGCAAGTAGTTTGGGGATGTGGGAATATTCCAATTTGTGCCTTAAAAGAATTCAGGTGTTTGTAATGTTTTTCTTTTTTTGGTGAAGCATTATGTTCAAGATTTTCAAACCATGGACCAAGACCCCCTGGTTTTCTACAATCTCAAAAGTTCATAAGCTTTGTAAGAAAAGGATTTTAATTAACAATTTAACATGTAACATTATATATTTCTGTAATACTATGTACTACTCATCAGAATATAGGAAATATACAGAAGACAGTGTTCTGTGAACTTAATATTCAATACCATTTTGTGCTTAAAGAGCTTGCATTGTGAAAGCACAACACTGCTTTTGTTATTTGCCCCTGCCCCTTACCTCCTACGGATTTCAGAGGAACCTGTTTATAAGATGAGTAATGAGTAATGTTGGGTGAATCCGTCTGTTTGTGATTTATTTAACAAAACTAGGTCCAACAAATCATGGCTTCATATGATATGTACTGTAAATCCATTCATTATTTCAACAAGCTAATAATTGTAAGCCTAGACAGTTGGAAAAACATTGATTTCACTGGCATACCTGTTGACTCTGTTCCAGAAATGCTACTAACAATTTTTCTGTGGTTCATCAACTCTAAATAGTTTAAATTCTATTCAGTGATTTGGCTTAAACTACACAACATTGGAAGAAAAGTATGCCTTAGGTAATAAATGTACAGTTTTAGTTAAGATTTGAATTGTGGGGTTTTTTGGCAAATTTTGAAAAGCCACCCAGCTTCCAACTTTGATCATTCATATTTGCCAAATACTGACTTGAGATATAAAATATGTCATAGCATAAAGTGAGAAGATGTAAAAAAAGTAAAAAGCTGAACTTTGTTGAAACTTTCATTCCAATGATGAAGAATATTCTTCTTGTCTCTTGTTCAGTTTTCTAATCTGGATCATCAACAGATAAAAATAAGTTCATTTCACACACTTTTTGAAATGTAGGGCAAATGAAGTGTAAAGAGATTAATGCATATGTATACATAGTTCACAGCTTGCAGTAATTCTGAATGCACATATGTAATAATTCTTACAAATGTTATGGGAAACATGAATTACAGAATAACTCCCCAATGAAATTCTAAGTAAACCTGCTAAGCTTTTATTTTTTGAAGGTGAAGGTTCATTCTCTGAGCTTTTGGGTTGGTTTCTGAACATTTCATTACCTGGCTAGGTAAAGTCGTCAGCGGAGTTTAGGGGATGTCAGTGTCAATGTTCTTCTGTTTATAAGGGTGTCATGTGGTCAGTAGGTCTTGTGGTAGTGAGGTCACATCAGGTCAAAGTCTTGTGATGGGTCAGGCGTGGGTGTGTCAAGTGAGAGTCTTGTGGTAGGTCTTGTGATGGTTACATCAGGTGAGGATCATTGGGAGATGAAGTGCTGGTTGGGGGGGGCTTCCATGGGTTGGTTGAGGGTCGGTGCTGTCTCTGGTTGGCTGTGTGGTTGATCTGGATTCTGAAGGGTTCATAGGCTGGTTGGAGGTCAATATGTCTGTTGATGCAATTGCTTCTGACATGCCAGGGCAGGTGGTAGCATGGCTTGATGATTTTTGTGTTGCTCCAATCGAACTGGTGCTGTTTGGTGTCGGTGTGGGTAGAGATTAAGGATTTGAGATTGTGGTGTTTGACTGTCAGCTGGTGTTCGTGGATCCTGGTTTTTTAATTTATGTGATGTTTGTCCCATGTAAGATTGGTTGCAATTACAGTTGATTTTGTAAATTACACTGTTTCTTTCATCCTTCTGTATCTTGTCTTTGGTTCTGGATAGTTCCTGGCGAAGTGTGGCTATGGATTTGTGGGCTATTACTATTCCTAGAGATTGGAGAATTCTGGCTGTCATTTCTGGATTTTATTTTTTATTTGAGCTTGTACTTTAAAAATGGTCTTCCAGCTTTGTTGGACTGATGTCTTCCATTTTCCACTTACCAAGGGACCTTAATGTTTTTTCTGTAAAATACATTTAACAGATTGATTTTCTAATTAAAATCTTGATTTTTCTAATTCAAAAGTTTATACTTTTAAAATGAGGAGTAGCTATTGTTTCTTTATAGGGTAATGTTTGTAGGGAACCTGTTCAACTACACTATCGATATAGTTTGAAACACACAAACTGAGAAGCTGATTTCACAGAGTTGCTGTAGGTAGGATCTTATTTTTGGAAGCAGGAAAGTATAGGTAACCCTTTCAGTATATACTTTGCATGATACTGTTAGCAAAATGGGTTAGTTTAGCTCCATACTACTGTGGGATCATTTGGGGATAAAGTCTGGCTTTTGGGGGTTGGTTGTTGTGAGTAATTTGTTATAATAGATTGCTTACATGACACAATTAATACCATCCCCCTTGCCCCAGTTAAGTTCACTGTGTAAATAGATTTGAAAACCGGGTTCCTAATTTTGCCAAGAAAAGTTAATACTTTAATTGGGATTTTAGAAAAGATCATACTCTAATTAGCAGTTTAAATTATTTTATCATTGCTGGCATGACTAATTTTGCTTTTTATTTTGGAACAGAAATGGGACAACTTTACATTTTCTATAGCACTATATATAATTATATTATAATGAAACTCAAATTTTAGCTAATGCCAGACTTACAAATGAATTTTACTGAGCACACAGAATTGAACTGGAACTCAGGCTAATCTGTAGAAGGCATTTAATGTATGGTGACCATGCTTCAGTAACAAGGGGTTGGTCGAGATTGTTCCTTTTTCCTTTTAAAATTCAGTACTTTTTATTATTATTTTCCTTTGTAAAGGAATCCTTGGCTTATGCAAATAGAAAGCTGAAAATTCCAGGTGAAAAGATCTTAAGAGACACTAAAGAAGAACGTGATCAACAAAACAGACTTAAAGAAATCAACCAACAGCTTAAAAACCTAGAAGAAATTGTAAGTCTTCTAAAGTTTATAATTTTTAAAAATACTATATACGAGGCATAAATGAAAATTGCATATACTGATTAGATTAATCAGTAATTGTTTTGTTGCAATACTCCTGTGATCTTACATTAGACAAATTATCTAAGTAGATTAGAAATAAATATGTATTCTGCTTATTTATAACTATAACATGTCAAGGTAAAATGAAACAGATTAGATTGTATGATCAATTACAATCTATTACTAAAAACAGCTTTCTAAAGATATTTAAAAAAACTTTTCTTTTCATTTCCTATCTTCACACTGTATGCAGCTAAAACTATATCAAATTGATTTATGCATCATCAGGTTGGAGTCAACTTTTAGTGACCACATAGATTGATTTTCTCCACAATCATCTGCTCCTAACCTGATCCGTCAGGTCTTCCAATGTACCCATCACTCATATAATTGAATCCATCCATCCTGCTCCTGGTCATTCTCTTCTCTTTCTTTCCACTTTTCCCAGCACTAGAGCCTTCTCCAGAAAGTGGAGTCTTTCCATAATGTACCTGAAATAGGATAATTTGAGCCTGGTCATTTGCGCCTCTGAACTCTGGACTGATTTTTTTTTGGTGATCCATTTGTTTGGTTTCTGGACTGTTCGTGGTATTCTCAGGAATCTTCTCTAACACCACATTTCAGAAGTGTCAATATTTTTTCTGTGCTGCTTCTTCTACTTCATATTGGAAGACCAATAATCCAATAGAAATACCAGAGGCTAAAAAGACAACAATAATCTCCTTGTGTATGTCCCAGCTTTAAAAACTGAAGGGAGTAGAAGGGGGAGAAAGACTGAAAAATGTCTTGAAAAGATGCTACATTCCTGTATTAATGATTCCCATGGAGCATTCTTATTCAGCAAGAGCCTTCAGTTAACACAAAGAACAGTGAGATTTTTTGTAGGGAAAAAAAAAAGCTTTATCTTATTTAAAGTAGGGTAAGAAAAGCCAAACTGAAAATAAGAGACATTGATTGAATGAATCAATGTTTACCTGTCATTGTTTTCACTTTTTGTATTTACATTTACTTTCACTTTTTATATTTGAGAGGTAGATTGCCACCTAAGCTGACCTTGCATTTTAACATAAATTAATCTCATAACATGGGATTTGCCCTTGTGCAAACAAAGAGCAAGGTACTGTTTCATGAAAATTTATGGTCAAAAAGTTCCTTGTTAGAATGGCAATACAGTAGCTTATATCGGTTTTGTAATGTCAATTTAGTGAGTAGCCAAGCCTCCAAACAAAACTAATTCAAGCTTGTAATTTCTTTTTGCTCTTGACCTTTGCTCCCTTTTTCCCACTCGGTCACTGAGCCTTGCTATTTATGGAATACAAGTCTGGACATTGGTGGCTTAGTCTGCAATAACCAATGCTTTGGAATGCTTTGGGCTACTGATTCATTAAAATACAATGAATGTTCACAGGTCAGTTTCAAGGTCTGATTAGTATAACATTGTTCCTTGGAATTTGCTTAGCAGGTACTTACCACTCCTTCACTGCATACCAGACATTTTTTCTTGACTTGAGAGAATGCCCATAAGACATTAAGGAAGTAGAAACTATTCTTCACTTATTAAATTATAAACATATAAACCACCTGCACTGTTGCATAACCTAGAGCTAGGTTGGCATTTCTTTATACTTTGAAAATCCTTTAGTACTTTTGACCCTCATTTTCAAAGGAGATATGTGAGGTAGTGGAACAGTTTATATGCAAGAAAAAAGTTGTATTATGGTAGAAAAACAATGACCCTTATTCAGATTTACCAATGTAGTGTAGATGAAAATGGAGAGATGCTTGAGATATCTGTGATACTAAGGATCATGCCTTCTTCAGTCTCCTTTCCTCATATGCACATACCAGCATTATATACATTTTGCAAGTTTTGCAATTGCTTTTTGCATTTAGTTTTGAGTTATTTTACCTTATTACTCATTTTACTTAATTACTTTTTGCAAGACCTTTTTGAAGGACCATCTGCCGGGAGGACAAGAGAAGGGAAACATGCATTATTTCATTATGCAAATTCTATACCTTGTTTATTTGCTGCAGACATCAAGGCACAAATATAAAATGAGAGCATTTGCACATACACATGTAAATCATTGCATTTGCTAACTTGAACTCATTATTAAAACTCAACTAAGAAAGTATTTTTGTAATATACAAATCTGTGATATGTTGCTAGGATTGCAGAATGAATGTACAAAAATAAGTGCTAATAGTTGTTTATACCATTATATAACACTGCAGAGGGTCCAATAGCAAGCTAAAAAGCTGACTGTACTCTATGAGCAGAGAAATTGACATCTGCAAGGGGTGGGGTCGGGGAAAACATGGAAGGATTCAAGGCCAAAGACAGGAGGACAAAATATAGATATTATTATATCAAATTTGACGCTTGCGAATCTACAGTGACTGGGTTGCTTACAATTAAAATAGACATTATTAATGAAAAAAAATACAGCTGACTAGAAGAAAAAAAAACACAAAAATAATAGGGACTTAACCACCATCATAACCTAAATAATTATTGTTGTGTCCTGAGCCTGCAAGCTGCCTGGGACCAGACTGAGCAGCGCCAGCCTTGCGCGCATGCGCAAGGCGCGAAAGCGCGCTATTAACTGTAACTGTTTTGCCTGGGGATCCAGACACAAAAGCAGAGAACTGCGAGTCTCACAGCTGTTGTTGGAGTGAGCAGAAGGAGAAATAAAGAGCTGTTGATTCAACCATGTGTGATCTTCATTCACCGTTAAACGAAGGACTTAACAATTATGCTTTAAATCAGTGAAAGAAAAGCAACATCCTTATCAAGTCATAATCTACTCTTGATTGTTTTGAGCTCAATTCATTTCCTCTTCTCTGGGACTGTTATTCTTTTTTCTATGTTCTTTCACCTTACAGTTCCTGCCAGTGGGAAGATGTCCCATCCTGTAGCACAAAAAGAAATATTGTGAAAATATTGTCAGATATATTCTTAGAGCAGAAGCCAAATTAATTAACTTAATTTGATTCATTTTCTTAGTCCATAGAAATTCCATGGTGCCGTGAGGTTATGTAAGGTCAGCAGTGGCCCTCATGTTTTTTTTTCTTTTATAAAGAATATGCAGCAGAAAACAGTTATTAGCCAACAAATTATTTTAATCACATTTTTGAAGTTATTTTACAGTCAGATTTTGCATATAGATTTTCTGTAGCTATAATAACTTTTCTCTTTCTGTTGCTCCTTTTACATGCAACAGGAGGTTCTGTTATTGGTTAGGAACAAATTGTTTAGTGCAGAAGTCCCCAACCTTTCGGGCACCAGGGACCGGTTCCATGGAGAAAGGTTTTTCCGTGGACTGGAGGGGGACGTTATTTCATGTAGTGTCTGCATCCCGCAGATGGGGCTTTGCTTGTTTGCGTGGACCAGTTTCTGGCATGCTGTGGCCCGGTACTGGTAAATGGACTGGGGGTTGGAGACCTCTGGTTTAGTGCAACTAAGGTTAAATGCTAATTCACTGAAGTCATAAATTAAGGAACCAGAAAATCAAGCCACAAGATATTCCGATTTGTTCAAAACGTAAGCATTATTTTCTATAATCAGGTAGAATAAATTGAATTTTACAGCTAATCAAAGATAAAATAAATCCAAATCTTGTTTTAAATGATAGTATTTAGGGCCAAAATTATTCCATTTATTTTTTTAAAACAGCAGTAGTTACTCATAGTGGAATAACAGACATAGCTCATTCTATAGATGTTACCTAGTTTGGTAATAAAACCTCTGCAAGCAAACAAGAAAGCTCAGTTAAACAATTGTATTTGGGACCTGTTCACAAATGTGCCTATAATAGCTTTGCCTAAAAACAAGAGAGAGAGAGAGAGATAGATAGAGAGAGAGAGAGAGAGAGAGAGAGGGAGGGAAGAGGAGGAGGGGGGGAGGGAGGGAGGGAGAGAGAGAGAGAGAGACTGTAAATTAAATAAGAAAACAATATATATACATGAAAGAATATTAAGACCACCAGCTTTGATCCCTCCCCACGCTCAGTCTGTTCATTTTGTTATTGGAGACTGCAAGCAGTAATATAATAATTAATCAAATTCCTGTAATTTGATAGTTTTACTTTTACACAAGTTATCAGATTACAGGGAATTTGATTAATCTATTATAAGGCTACACTCCTGTTGTGGAAAGGAAAGAGAAGCTGCTCTTCATTGAACTGAAGTGGAAACCCTTGTTCGTAGGCGTTCCACTCTGTATTTAGGTCTCAAAGCTGTTGCCTTTGCAAGAATAATAGATTGAAGCAAATTTATTCACAAAGACTAAGTCACTGAGCAAATTCTTTTCATTATATCATAAATATTCACTATATCTTGTTCATCAAATAAATCAAATGCAAATCTATATCATTTGTTTCTAGTGATGTTTTCCCGCTTTTGTTATGGATGTACTCGGGTATTCTGAAGGTCAGATGGAGCCAGCAGACCATAAAATCTAGCCAGTGAGAGAACTGGAACTAAGGAAATCTCAAGGGTTTATTAAATGATGTGAAACTCTGTTGTTTGGCCTATGTGTTACATAATTGCTGTCTATGTACTGCTATTAAAATTCCACACTAGTCCTAACAGGAACTAGTGTTTTTATAGTTGGAAGAAGAGATAAATAAATTTTTAGTTAGCATTTCAGCAATATTATAACACACTTCTATTTTTATTACTGTGGCATCTTGAGTTTGGAAGACTCTACTTTGAATATACTGTGCTAATTACCATATAAATTAAGTAGTTAAATAACCTTAATACAGAGTTATCCTTTATGTCAATAACCAGATTCTGCATAGTAAAATACGCATAATTCAGCTAATTATGTTTAGAATGCCATGTTTAGAATGAAGTGTTGTCCCTTTCTTTCTATTCATTCTGGTCAAAAGTAAATTGAAGTTATTTAGCTACAGTGCAAATAGAAAGATCATTATTTCTTT